GGTGTACGAGGTGGCCGACAACATGATTAAGATCTACAACTTCTTCATCAAATACGACGCCATCTTGCTCGAAATCAACCCGTTGGTGGAGGACTCCATGGGGCAGGTGATGTGCATGGACGCCAAGATCATTTTCGACAGCAACTCGGCCTTTCGCCAGCAGAAGATCTTCGAGCTGCAGGACTGGACCCAGCTGGACGAGCGAGACCGGGAAGCGGCCAATGCGGAGCTGAACTACATCGCTTTGGACGGCAACATCGGCTGCCTGGTCAACGGGGCGGGCCTGGCCATGGCCACCATGGACATCATCAAGCTCCACGGAGGCACCCCGGCCAACTACCTCAACGTTGGAGGCAGCGCCACTGTAGAGCAAGTCACGGAGGCCTTCAAGCTCATCACCTCCAACGAGAACGTCCAGGCCATTCTGGTCAACATCTTCGGGGGGCTGATGAGGTGCGACGTCATCGCGCACGGCATCATCATGTCGGCCAAAGACCTGGACCTCAAAATCCCCATCGTGGTGCGGCTGCAAGGCACGCGGGTCAAGGACGCCAAGGACTTGATTGCGGAGAGCGGCCTGAAGATCCTTCCCTGCGATGACCTGGACCAGGCGGCCAAAATGGCCGTGAAGCTCTCCGAGATCATGGTCCTGGCCAAAGAGGCCCAGGTAGACGTCAAGTTTCAGTTGCCATCTTGATGGTGATGCCCACCTCCTTCCTCTCTTTATGCAGAAGCGAAATCCTTCCCAATAAACTAATTGAAGAGCTTGTCAACAAAGATCTATTTCTTCCAAATCACACATTCATGCTAAGTAGTATTGCGTTTGTCTCCACAATCAGCCTTCAAGCTGATTGTGGAGACAATCACAGATATATAAACCCTTTTTCCCAGTTCCAACAGACCTCACTACCTCTGAGGATGCTTGCCATAGATGCGGGCTAAACGTCAGGAGAGAATGCCTCTAGAACATGGCCATATAGTCCGAAAAACCTACAACAACCCAGTGATTCCGGCCATGAAAGCCGGATCTTGGGAGCCAATTCTGTTGAGGTTTTGCCTTTCCAAACTGTTTTCAGACCAGGGAGGCCTCCTTTCAGAAGCCAGATTCCAACTTGTTTCTCCCACCTCAAGTGTGTGAAAATGGAAGCTGACACAAGACACCCATAAATAGTAAAACTAAGCACAGACAATGTTTATTTAAAGATACACATTTTTGGAAAAATAACTTTGGGAACATATCAAAGACTTCAACCAGACTTCAACAAACTTCAAACTACCCTACTATTGAAAAAAAAAAGGGGGGGGGGAGGGATGGGGCCCTCCAGATATTGTTGAACTACACCTCCCATCAACCCCAACCATTGGTCACATTGGTTGGAGCTGATGGGAGTTGCGGTCCAACATTACCTGCAGGGCCACAGGCTTCCCACCCTTGCTATGGAAAACAGACTAATATCCTACCAAGTGTGATGCAGAAATAAGGAAATGCGCAGCCTCAATCTCCCCCAGGTCACGCACCTTCCGAGTCTCATTGAGGTCAATGACAGAGGTGCGCAAGCAACTCTTCCATTGGCACCTATGAGGCTAGGAAGGTCCTGACTGGCGTCTTGGACCATAGGTCCCTATTCATTCTTGATATAGATGATTTTGTGCTTCTCCAGGACCTTGATGTCCTCTTCCAGCTGCTTCATCTCCAACTCCATTTTCTCTTTGCGGAGTTTCCTCGAAACCGAATCGATCACCACGGAGAGGGCCTGGAACTCCTTATTGACCTCTTCCCAGTTCGTCTTGAGGCCCTGCGGGGAGTCAATCAGACACAGAGAGCTTAATGGGTCTTAGGGTTGGATAGGTTCGTTTTAGGGTTGGATAGGTTCGTTCGGAAGAGCCTGAAACTCGTAAAAAACTTCCAACTTCCGACTTCCGAAGCAGTTTTGATCCATGCAGGAAAGGTGGGAGGGGCACATCCAAATTTGAACCACTAGCCTTTTTTTCCTGGAAATACGAGGGGTATTTTTAAAGTAAGGTCCATTGGAACATAAGTACACAACGAAAGTTTATTTCAAAAAAGTAAATTTATTTTCAGAAAGTACATACTTCACTCTATTTTTTGACATAGTTGCCAAGTTTGTTCAAACACTTATCATACCTCTGAACCAATTTTAAAATACCCTCTTCATAAATCCTCGCTTCAACTGAAGCCACCAAATCGTCTGTAATCAAAGAAGGGTGACCGGAGCGGTCCTCATCCTGGACGTTGTCACGGCCATCTTTGAATTGTCGTACCCACTTACGCACTTTGCTTTCACTCGTCACAGTCTCACCGTACACTTCACAAATCTGTCGAAGGATTTCTGCAGCAGGCAGGTTCCTTGCTGACAAAAACCGTATCACTGAGTGAACCTTACATGCGGAGGGTGAGTTGAGAGTCTTAAACATTTTTAAAGCACAGAACAGAACCGTACAGGTGAGCTACAGAGCGGAAACTGAGCACAGGTGTTCCCGAGGCATGCCGGTACACGACGCACGCGCTCGTTGTGGTATGCGCGCGAACTACTAGTGTCTACAACACAACGGACCTTACTTAAAAAATACCCCTCGTAGTGCATAATGTTCAGATGTCTCCCAAGGTTATTTTAATTTTCAGAACCATCAAGCAACTTTGGTAAAGCCTAAAAAGTTTGAAAATCTCATGCTTTCCCTCCCCCGGAAATACAAGGAAGGGATGAAGTGGGCATTAGGGTTGAGCAAGTTCATTCGGAAGCTTCTAAAATCGGAATTAATTCGGAAAAAAAACCCTTTTGAACCAATTTTGAGCCATGCAGGAATAGTGGGAGGAGTAATTCCGAATTTAATCCGCTTACCCATTGTTCGGAATTATTTTCGGATGTCTCCCACAGTTATTTTGATTTTTAGAACAATTAAGCAACTTTGGCAAAGCCTCGCGGTTTCCCTTTTGGGTCCTTCAGCCATTTTGGCTAATGAGCAGCAAGGCTGGGAAATGTAGTTTAACAGTGGGAAATGTAGTTTAACAGCAGGGCCTTTTGCAATATCTACCACTGGGGACGTGGTCTTCAGGAAGAGCTGTTCTTAGCCACGCCCACCTCGTCCCTCTGCATCGCCCTTCACCGCCAGCCAGGGAAGGGAAACTGCGAGATTTTAAAACTATTTGTTTAGGCTTTCTGTCTTTGTCAAAGTTACTTAATGGTTTTGGAGGGAGGGAGGGGCACCTTCCATTAATGAAGCAAACGAAGCAATTCGGATTTCTGCTATTTCCGATCTTTTTTTTCAAGAAAATTTCAGAAATCATTTCAAAATCGAATCGCCAGCGCCCCCTATATACGAAATGAGCTTAGAACCTTTTTTTCTTGATCACCCAAGAAGGTGGGCATGCTAAGCACAGCCATTGTTATAGTTTGTGAAGGCCAGGCCCCCAATGATACAGATTGCAAAAGGTCCTGCTGTTAAACTACATTTCCCACACTGCCTTGCTGCTCATTAGCCAAAATGGCTGAAGGACCCAAAATAGCTGTCTGTAGTAGTCATCCTCTTGATATAAAATAAACTGATTTAATCTACAAAGTTGTCTAAAGAAGGAAGCAAAGCAATCAGCAATGTTGCTGAATCCTATTCCAAGGACAAGAGCA